AACAGAATTGTGATGAGTAATGTGTTACAAATGTGTGGGTGCGGAAAATTGATAAAGAGTATATAGGAAAAAAAACAACCCTCGTATTTTGCTCACATTTTATTGTGCATGTATTTTCTCTCGTTCTTCGATCGACTAGTCAAATCTTTTTCAGTCGTATGTAGTACTTCATTTATTTACGTTCCTCTACATAACTGACTGGGCGCAATGACTACGTCACTATATATAAGCGGAGGAGAACACACAAGAAAAGAAAAAAAAAGGAAAAAGGAAAAAGAAAATTTTGTCTGTTCTGTCTTTGTGAAGGCGCGAACCAACGGGAAAAGGAAAAAACGGTCAAAGCTTGTCATCGTTTTATTGATAATAAGTGTACATGTTCAATACCGAGACGTTGGAAAAGACACGATTTAATTCGATCAATGTCTTCTTGAATTAATTTAAAACTCAAAGCTGTGAGCATAACTCCAAACAATAAATATATAGCACAGATAAGTGATCGTCCATTTCGATGAGTAATTGTAGTTTCACCTGGTACCAAATCACCAAAACCAATTGTAGTAAATGTTATAAATGAAAAATAAGCACTATCAATATATGACCATCCTTCCCATGTAGCAAAAAGAATAGAACCAGCAAGAAGATAAAGAATTAAAAGAGTTATTGGCACCCAAAAAGGTACTTTTTCATCTAAATATATCTATAAAAATATTTCTTAGAATTTATTCATAATAAAAACTGTATTTTTCAAAAAAATATTTTACAAATATGAATCATTTTTCAGCAATTTTTTAATACTGTATTATAATGGTATTCAATAAATAGAGATAAAGTACATAAATAGACCAATATTGTCAAAATGTTTTGATAAAATATTGACAATGCACCATTCTTATCTTGTCTATTAGTTTTTAAAACTCAATTCAATCATAATAACTCATATAAATCCCTTAAACAATGTTTAAAAGCTTTTATAACACCTACTTTTTCTTGTAGTGGTATTTTTTTTCTTTTGAAATGTCGTCGAAAACATCGATTGAAATATTGATAATATTGTGTTACTAATAATGCTAATGAGTCACCGACTAATTTTAACCATGAAACAACTAAAAGAATACCAATTAAAGCATCTAATAAGAAAAAAAAACCAATAAAATTTTTCTAAAAAATTTAAAATATAATTTTACAAATAACTGTAGAAATTTTTCCTAATGTTGTTTTAGGTGAAATATTTCCATAACCAATCGTTGTTACTAATGTTGCTGCATATAGTATTGCTGTTGAATATGTCCATTTATAAACAAATTTCTCTTCAGCAACTTGTCGCATAGCTAAACGTAATGATAAATTTTCTAATTCAAATTCTGTTTGATTATCCAGTATATTAGCTCGTTCATTATTTAAATAAATATAATTTGATAATTTTTCATTGTTCCATCTCCATTGTTGATAAGCATTTTCAAAATTTTCATTTAACTGTTCATTTAATAAATGAAGAGCTAATGAACGAATATGTTCATATGTTTCACTAATTATTTCTTTTCGTTCATCATCTTTTTTTAAATAATATTTAGATTCAATAAATGCAAAAAATAGACCACCAACTATAAGATAAATCAAAACAATAACTATTAAACTTATTTGATGTAATATATAACGAGCATATACACATTGACATTGTAAAGGAGACTTATTACATTCTTAAATATAAATGATTGATTTGAAAACATATATTTTGAGAAAAAAAAATCTTACTTGATTGAATTAAATGAATATCACCTTGTTTATCAAACTCAAGTAAAGGCACTGATGAATGCATTATTTTTTTTTGCTTTGCATCACAATGAAGAATAATTGTCGAATGATTACCAAATGGTTCTTTTTATATAGATGACAATCAAATTATTGATTGATTATTGTCTTCATTCTATCAATAAATAGAATCAGCATATGTTTCATCATTTTTTATGAGATAGATAATGTATTCTGCCATTGATCCGATGTTTGATAATCCGTCATAAGAAGGCTCGAGTTGGAAATATAAAATAGGAAGAGAATCTAAGTATCTGAAGTAGAGATATTTATGAAAATACTTGTTCCGATCTAAAACAAAAAAATTTTCTATGCCCTTGTCATGTATGTGTAGTCTCAACCTCGGATACACCGAGACCGAGACTGAACCGAGACCGAGACTGGTCGAGACCGAAACGGACCGAGACCGAGACTGAGTCGAGACCGAGACGCATCGAGACCAAGCTCTCGGTCTCGGTACATCGCTAGTCTCAACACTTACATAAACACTTGTAGAAAAGTTGTATGAATTTTAAACTTCGATTGGTAGCAACGTATTTCAAATGTCATTTTACATTTTATGGGCTTCACATGTTTGAGAATTATATCATTATTTATTATCAATAATTACATTTGAAATATAGTGTAACGAATAAGTTTTAATAGCAATAGTTTTCAGATCTACGAAACTGTCCAAGTCAATTATGTTCGGTCGTACACCAATCAATTACGATTGCAAACGACTGCTGTTTACGGTGGGTGCATATAACAATCGTAAACGATAGTTTACGGTGTAGTATGGCCATCGTTAACAATGACCATAGAAAACTGCCGTTAATGATTGGTGTAACAATCAAACATCGACGTGACTATGAGTCACAGAAATTCTATTGACTGTATTGGTACGATAAATTTCTGTTGCTTATGCGCATATATATTACACAGATAGAGTGTTGAATAAATATTATCTCTTTAGGTAGAAATAATGAGATATTGACTATTGGATGTGATAAGAAAAGGAAGGAAATTTATGGTTACAAGCACCAAAATATACATAATTATAAGATTCAATAGATAATTTCATTTTAGCATCGAAAAAAAATCTCCAAATAGAATTTGTTATATTTAACTTCAAACCATAACCCTTCTGTAACATTTCAAAAACCAAAACAGAAGGATAGCATGTCCAAAGTTTGAATTCACTTCAGTATGATTAATTTTCAGAAAATCAAACAAGATTATATTATCTATAATTCATGCAAATCGCTGGTCTCTTCAAAACAGCTACTACTACTGCTGATATGCAAGAACATGTAGATTTACATGGTAAAATTTTTAATCTACATGCCGAACAAAATGAAACCAAAATAACAAAAAATTTTAATTCAACGAAAAATAAATCAAAGTGTACCTTCCTCAAACTGGGAACATAAAATTACAAATACATTAACAGAGTTCCTTGTTCATGATGGTAGAACATTTGAAGTCATTAATGGTTCAAGTTTTATTTATCTCATCGAATGCATTCTTGATGTTAGTCATACTTTACTAGGATCATCTACTGGTTGTGCAACTGATTTAATTGATGATTCACGAACGGTAAAATTCAAATTCTTTCTGCTTATTTGATCCAGTTTTTTTTTGTTTTTAGATAAATTGTGATGTAAATAAACTTTATGAACAACGCAAATCTCAATGAATAAGTTTATGCCAAAAATCAAATCTTTTGTTGTCACTGCTAATTTTTAGAGCAAAAGTTTGTAGTATTGTGCATGAATGGGTGTTGTATTGATTATATTTGTTTGTTTTGAATTAAAGAAATTAAATTAGATTTGATACATATTGAAAGAGTAACAAATATGATATTAAATATACAATTCTCTAATGAAATTAAAAGATAGTTGTCAGATAGGTACATGAAAGTTTATCATGATTGATCGTGACTCGTCGTGACCTAGGTCTAGTTATGAACAAGGACAGCAAATCTATGAAAGAACTAGTCATGGTCACGACAGCGACAGTAACCTATGATGATCGTGACTGGCGGCAATCACACCGATGTCTATAGTAACAATATGGCGACTATAAACACTGTTCGGGTAATATCATAAAGCATCGTATGCGTCAATTGTAAACGGTTTAATTAACAATCATCGTTTTCTATCGTGCGTCATGGTAAGCAGTTGTTAACGTTGGCGACTTGCTCTGATTGAGTATAAGTAATATGTACTCATGATCAACTATAGACGTCGCTATGTAACAATACTTGTTTATCAACGAAGTCAAGAGACAGTCATGAGTTGTACTTGACACAATATTTATACTGCAGTTGATACAAGCAATTGAGAACAGCCTGATTTTTATCTGATTTTTAATTAAAGAGAAGAAAAAAAACGACATTAATAGTTTTTTCCTGCAAACACACTTAGAATGTGTAAGCACAGAAGTCATGTCGAATAAGACATATCTGCATTTTTCCTATACACCGGCAGATGAGCTCCTAACAGTTGAACCCTGGTAAATGAGCCTCTAACAGTTGAGCTTTCAACATCAAAACTCTCATTACTTGAATCTAGGATAGACAGGTAATTAAAAAATACAAGAAACTAATTTTTGTGAATAAATTCACATTGACATCAAAAATTGAAATTGAGCTATTACTCGTTTGAAGTACAAGTCTCTTGCTATTAAACGAAAAACCGAAACTAATTGTTGTAATTTTTCATCAAGAGGTTCATATTTGACACGTTTCTTTTATTTTGAGTGTAGATATGAGCGCTCGCTTTCTCTTCATTTACGGTCACATTCTTCTGAAGGTTGTTATCGAGCTATTAAAGTACTGTCAACTCCTTATGTATTTTCGTCGATACAATAACTCATCTATCTCTGGTCAGAATTCAGCACGAGAAAATCCATAAACTTATGAATGTATCAAAGATTTGAAAATGGAACAGCATGCGAACTTGATAATGGTTGAACAATTACAAACAGGACTTGTGAAACTAATGAAAGATGCAAAATATAAACTTTTGGATGAATAATTACAACAACTAGTTTCTTCTTTTCATTTGATAACAAGAGACATATACTTCAAACGATCAAGAACTCTAGTCAATTTTTGATGTGAATTTGAATTTATTCAGATAAAATTATTTTCTTGTACTTTTTAACCTCTTGTTTGTATCAGGCTCAAGTGCCGGAAGGCTCATCTGTTGTGTGATCATATTTTTCTATGATGTCTACTAAGAAAAAAACGTGACTTTTCACACAAATAAGTACACTCAATAGTAAGCGTCCAAGTGAATCAAATTATGTAATCGTTGCTTGATATACCTCAACAGATCAACTAAGCTAAGGTACAAACTTAAATTGTTTAAAAAACTCTCAACAAAGATTTCGGTCTTGTTGTCTTCTCCGTCATTTTTGAAACAAATTCTAGCAAGAACATCATCTATCACGACTTCAAAGATGAAAGTGAAGTTTTAATTAAGCCTTATCATACCTTATAATCTACTATTTATACAATATTCTTCTTACAAATAAAACAAGCCTAAAGATATTTTTTTTCTTCAATTATGCTGAATACTAATAGTTCTTAGCCATAGATACGCTATTATTAGTACTCAGCAAAGATTTCCTAGATTTTTGAAGATCTTATTCATGAAAGCTATCTTATTTAAAGTCACTTTCAGATAGAAACATATGCCTAAAAGGAGAAGGACTATTTTTTAACAATATTCCTATTCTAAGTATTTTTCAAAGCTGAAACTGCTCATTTGGTAGAAAAAGATCTTTAAAGACTTTTTTTGAAAACTTTTAAATAAGACGATTTTTTATCTAGACGAGTGGATTTCAATGAAATAAGGCATTTCAAGGTCTTTCCTTAAGCATCACCTTTGTATAAGATGAATGTTACTGGATAAAGACGGATTTCTATGAGATAAAGCCTTGTTTGGATACGCATCATTTCTATTTTGTTTCTTGTCGAATCCAGAATACGAATTTATCAATTTGGACGATGGCAAGAGGTAAGGTCTCAGTCATGTGTGCTCTTTTTTTTATTTACACTTGACACGATAGTTCGCGTGGATATTCGGTTGTAAATGCTACTATCTCTTGTCGTATCCGATAGAATACGACCGTATTACGATACAAATATCAGTATAACAGACGTGTGTGTTTCGCCGTATATGACACGACGTCATACGACTGTAATTGTATCGTTCAAGGGTATTTTCGGCAATGTAAATGTTCATCTACGGTCATTTATGATCATCGTAATCATGGATATAGGTGCCATTGTTTTTCTCAATTAACAATTCTTCATAGAAAACATGTTTTATGTTATATTTTTCGTCTATTTCTTAAGAAATATTAGTGAGCAGAAATGGATTTCTATTAAAAAACATGTAAAATCTATTTAAGAATGTTTACCCTAATCTTGATAATCTACGGTTGCAATTGTTCAGTTTTTAATATCATATTTTTTTTTCTGAGGACTACCTATGGAAATATGCTATGATTTAAAATCTATTTTCAAATAATGTTTTTGCTGGTGTAAGATTATTTACCAAATGGCATATGATCAATATTGAAGCGATAAATAGCACAAAATCTTTATATAATATTATTAAAAATCAAAATATTTTCAACGAAATGCTCTATATATCGTTTGACGACTGATATTCTTATTGCAATAGAGTATCGAAAAATATTATTTTCATTTTAATAGAATTGACTCAGATTCAAGCAATGATGAGATTTAAATATCTAAATTCGAAACTTAACGAAAAAGAAACAGGTAATATTATAAGAATAATATGAAAGTAGAAAAAATTTTGTTTTTGTTTCTATAGTGAAATCCAAATAATAGCATCATCATTAGCAATGATGATGATTACATAAATTTTACAAGAGATCTTTCAATTACTATAGAACAATATGAATATGAGTTATTTATATATACTGACGAATGTTTATAATCAGTAAGTTATTTTTAAATTAAATTTCTCTTCGATGCATATTAGCTTTGTATTCATTTTTTAAATTAATCTTCATCTTATTCTATAACAACTATGTCGTAATTAAATTCAATATAATTCCAACAAATCTACCGTCGGTTTTGTCCTACAACAATGAATACTTTTTTCGAAAATTCGCTTCCTATTCTGTTCGATGATGGATTTCAAGACTGGACAGGATAGACATCTTGTAGAGCATATATATTACTCCAATGATATTGTACAATTAAGATTGAAAGAGCAGAACTTTTCTATTCATTCACATGAAAATATCGTTTTTATTTATTTCATATTGTCATTATTGATTCTTTTTTTCTTTTCTCTTCTTATATATCTATTAGAATTTGCTATCAACGGAATACAAAGATAGCTATATATGTTCGTTCTGTCTGATAACATAGTGTAACTTGTTTTATGTTTTTCAAAAGAAAAGAACACTATTATTTTAAAGTGAAGACAAAATGTCATTTTGATATTGGAAGGAGATGAAGAGCTCCTTCAGAACTGCTTTGTTGACAATTGTGTCTTGCCGTACCACAATATAGAGCAAAGCTGAAAAATTTATTTTTTGATCTTAGTCTGCAGACATATTGAATGGACGATACATGTCGATTATTTTTGCTCAAGAAAACTGAATTCTCTTTATTTTTTATATAATTCCAAATAGATAAAAAATTTTCTTTATATCAAGATATTAATTAAATATTACAGAAGTCATTAATTATTCGCACTATTTATCATTAAAAAAAAGAAATTCTTTTTTCTTCCAAGATATTATAATTTTTATTGCATGAATGAAGAAAGAAATTATTTTAACAAAAGCACAACATTAATTAATATTCAAATTTAAACATAAAAAGAATCGTATTTTTATTTGATAATAAAAAAAATGACCTGGAAACTTTATAGGTTCGAATAGATGTCAAATTGGCTTGATTGTTGATTTTTTTATATTTAAAACAGGAATATCTACTTGATTTCGACGTACTGAATACGTTACTTTTGATATTGTATTTGTTCGCCGTTTTAAACAAAGTAAAAAACGTAATTTTTGATAAACTTCTGGGAAACTCATCAAAGAAATAAAAGGTATAATTAAAGAAGTCAAATAAAATAGATATAAAAAGAGTTCGTCTTGTATCATAGATTCTCCGCCATCATAATCACTTTTTACAAATATATGCAATGACTCTGCAATTGCACTTGGTAATGTTCCAATAAAGTATAATGTTGATATAGATATAATTTGTATTGTCATTCTTTTATGTCTATGCCATCTTATAATTTGATTGCGTTGTTTTTTTTTATAAACAATACGTATCAATAAAAATAAGCTAAAAAAAAATATAAGTATTGAACATAAAATTTTATGAATTAATAAATCTATTGATGATAAAATTATAACATGATGTATATAACATGCTCGATGACAAAATACTTCATTATAATCAAAATGTTCAATATTTGAACAAAATGGACTAATAATAATAGTAATAAAATAGAAGATCAATGTATAAATAATTAATATTATTATTGGAATATAATGAAAGATAAAACGTTTTAATTTGTTATTAAATATTTGACGATCATAAAAAATAAATAAATGACGTTCAAATGATGCCCACATCATTAAAAATACTGATAAATTGGATAAAAATGAATTAATAAAATTCCATGC